ATCTACATGAATAGTGAGACCTTTTCATAATACCTGGAAGAATGTTTGCGTGTATAGTGAGGTGTTCACAACTATTGTCGTAGAACTTAATCTATACTCGAGAGAGAGAGAGAGAGAGAGAGAGAGGGAGGGAAACGGGACACTGCCTCTCTATCTGCTTTCTCTCTCTCTCTCTCTATCTTCACATCTCTGCAGTAAGACTCAGTCATACTCATACTAAATCTGGAAATAAATACGAATTTTAGCCTTGAAATAAAGCTCGACGTAATATAATTTTCCCTCTTACTTGTTAATATAACTTTGAAAATAGAGCTCAGATAATCAGCAATTTTCACCTTTGTACAAGTCTCACCTCGAGACTCCAAACGAAATTAAGCTTTTACGAGATTTTAAATGCGAGTTTTTTCGTCTGAAGCTGAACCTTCAGACTTAATTCACAGCTTAGAGAGGAGACTCTAGGCGACTTTTCGGTCATTTCTGGTGGACCATCATCAAGTGCATTAGAGTGAAGTGCAAAGCACCTCACTCTAATACCTATATATGCCCTCTGTGTTCATGTATTGTTTGTAACGGCTCGACAGAGCTTCTGGAGAGCGAAACGTTGCCACAATAAAATGTCGCATTCGTTGCCCCCGTGTCCTTTTACCTAACAAGAATGGTGTGAACTGTTTATTTTTCTTTACCGCTCACACTCTGAGCAATTGGTGTCCAACAAACTCACAGCTCAGAATCAACAAATTTATGATAGATTTAGGGCATTGTCTAGATGTTGGAAGTTTGAGGTCAGAATAGAGGGAGGCGACTATAAAGTGGCTGCTGGGAGTCGAACTTCCGTGAGGAGCCTTCGTCAGATCTCGACAGGTGATTTGGTAACGAATACAGCATTAACTGGCCGAAGGAGGGAAGGTCCTGGGTTACAACCTTGGCTGAAGGAACTCCGTCGGTCAACTGGCCAATGATTTTTTTTTTATTCGCCAGTACTCTCCCGGGCCCCGGGGTTTTTTCCAAGTAGTGGTGACCCGGCCTTGGCTCCCTATCTGGGGGTATCTCGAGACATAAGTCTCCCATGGGAGGGAGATACAAGTACCCCCTCATCTTTTTGGACTAAGTGCCCCAGGCCTAGCCAAGTCCCCGCCCTCCGGGGCTCGTAGGGAGAAGCTATGCCTCGGTCTGCCATCGCCCCGCCCCAAAGGGCTCGTGGGGAGGGAGTCTTATAAGCTGCAGGTGAAGCAACTCAGGCCACTTTTGTGGCAATGAAGTTGTAGGAGAAACTTAAAAGGTACTAGTGTGGGCAGTCCGGGCAACACAAGTCATAAGGTTTACTGGGAAATCTTGCAACACAATTAATGAAACAGCTGGGTAGTCCTGCAACACAATCATGAAGGCAGCTGGGCAGTCCCTGCAACACAGTCATGAAGGTAGCTGGGCAGTTCCTGCAACACAATGATGAAGGCAGCTGGGCAGTCCCTGCAACACAATAATTAAGGTAGCTGGGAAGTCCCTGCAACACAATGATGAATATAGCTGGGCAGTCCCTGCAACACAATCATGAAGGGAGCTGGGCAGTCCATGTAACAGAAGCATGAAGGTAGCTGGGCAGTCCATGCAACAGAATCATGAAGGTTGCTGGACAGTCCCTGCAATATAATGACAGCTGGGCAGTCCCTGCAACACAATGATGAAAGTAGCTGGGCAGTCCCTGCAACACAATCATGAAGGTAGCTGGGCAGCCCCTGCAACACAATCATGAAGGTAGCTGGGCAGTCCCTGCAACACAATCATGAAGGTAGCTGGGTAGTCCCTGCAACACAATCATGAAGGTAGCTAGGCAGCCCCTGCAACACAATCATGAAGGTAGCTGGGCAGTCCCTGCAACACAATCATGAAGGTAGCTGGGTAGTCCCTGCAACACAACCCATGAAGTAGCTAGGCAGCCCCTGCAACACAATCAGAAGGTAGCTGGGCAGTCCCTGCAACACAATCATGAAGGTAGCTGGGTAGTCCCTGCAACACAATCATGAAGGTAGCTGGGTAGTCCCTGCAACACAATCATGAAGGTAGCTGGGTAGTCCCTGCAACACAATCATGAAGGTAGTTTGGGTAGTCCCTGCAACACAATCATGAAGGCAGCTGGGTAGTCCCTGCAACACAATCATGAAGGTAGCTGGGTACTCCCTGCAACACAATCATGAAGGTAGCTAGGCAGTCCCTGCAACACAATCATAAAGGGGAGCTAGGCAGTCCCCTGCAACACAATCATGAAGGTAGCTAGGCAGTCCCTGCAACACAATCATGAAGGTAGCTAGGCAGTCCCTGCAACACAATCATGAAGGTAGCTAGGCAGTCCCTGCAACACAATCATGAAGGCAGCTAGGCAGTCCCTGCAACACCTCAGCTGAACGCTGTTTACCTGTCTTGCTGATGCCAATATTTGTCGTCCATTAAAAAAATAGCTTTCCTATAGATGGCATATATTTGAACTCATTTTTCTTCAGACCTTTTCCATTCTAGTTTTGTATTGGCTTCCTAACTCCAGAATCCACACTTGTCGAGCACAACAGGGGCCAGGAGCGACGTTTCGATCTTCACAAACTGGTAAACACAACGGCTCCTCCTCCTCTCCTCCTCCTCCAGCAGCAGCAGCACAGCACAGCAGCAGCAGCAGCAGCAGCAGCAGCAGCAGCAGCAGCAGCAGCAGCAGCAGCAGCAGCAGCAGCAGCAGCAGCAGCAGCAGCAGCCAGCAGCAGCCAGCAGCAGCAGCAGCAGCAGCAGCAGCAGCAGCAGCAGCAGCAGCAGCAGCAGCAGCACAGCAGCAGCAGCAGAAGCAGCTGCAGCACAGTGGCTCCTCCAGCAGCAGCAGCAGCAGCAGCAGCAGCAGCAGCAGCAGCAGCACGCCGGAGCCACTACTGAGAAGCGCAATCAACATTTTTCATTTATATATATTCAAAACGATAATCGTTTTACCCTCCCCCACCACCAACATTGGCTGCCGGACCATGCACTCCCCATTGTACTCACCGCTCTACTCGCCACTATACTCGCCACAGCACTCGCCGCTGTACTCGCCGCTCTGCTCGCCACTGTACTCGTCACTGCATTCGCCGCTGTACTCGCCATTGTACTCGCCGCTGTACTCGCCACTGCACTCGCCACTGTACTCACCGCTGTACTCGCCATTGCACTCGCCGCTGTACTCGCCACTGCACTCGCCGCTGTACTCGCCATTGCACTCGCCGCTGTACTCGTCACTGCACTCGCCACTGCACTCGCCGCTGTACTCGCCACTGCACTCGCCGCTGTACTCGCCACTGCACTCGCCACTGTACTCGCCACTATACTCGCCGTTGTACTCGCCACAAAGGCTCATTTGTCGGTATTTAAAATTGCAATTTGCCATAAAAATGGACATTGTATGCGTGCGCGCGTGTGGATATAACCACTAACACTAATAATGAAAAAAATGAACGAAGATGAACGTTAGGTGATGCCTTAGTTTCTGAATCTAGTGTTCATGAACGTGAGAACACAATCTAGTGTTCATGAACGTGAGAACACCAGTAAATTCTGGTATGGAGTTCGCAGTTGCAATGACGCTGATTGTACTTCATGTTCCCTGAACAAGTGAAATGATTGTATGTTAGGTTCACTAAATAGATGAAATGATTGTATGTCTGGTCCCCTGAACAGGAGAATTGATTGTACATAAGGTCGTTTAAATTGGTAAAACGATTGTGTCTCGCTCCGTGAACCGATGGAATGACTGGATGTCATGTCCCTTCAACAAGCGACGTAAATATTTTACAATGGGTCACCCTGACAAGCGAAATGATTGTGTGTCGGGTCTTCTGAACTTACGAAGTGATTGTTTGTGGGTTCTCTGAGTGACATATAATGACGTCAAATCTCGTGGCTTGGTCATACCTATGGATGACACGTTTGGAAGATGAACGAAGTAGTGTCTCATAAAATTAGTCCAGCACTGCCCACTTGATGTTATCATCAGTGGGATGGATATGCTGTACATGTGCACTGTTCACTGCGGCATGATGCCTCTTACCCAGCTGCTCATGCCGGCAGTGTGGCTGGAGAAAGTGGAGCACAGGGAGAGAGCCTTTTTCTACATTATCCTTGCCTCAACTACCTAAGAAGAAGTAGAGGTAGACTGTATTTTTGTCCTTTCAGCAGATAGCCTCCGAGTGGGGGTTAGCTCTCCTGGCTCTCTTTTCGTGTACTATGTGTTACTTTCTGATGCCTCCTTTGCTAATCTTACATTTTTCATTTTAATTTTGAAGCGATCCTAAATAGCAAGCCGTCGGGGCACTCAGGAATAGTATGGTAGAGACTGGGAAAACACACTCGTTTTACAACATTCAACTAGTTGCAACAGTTGTCTGAGGCGACATAAACAAGTTTCAGTACGGTGGAAGTATCTTCGAGGCAGGTTGCATCAATCACTGGTGTTCCAAAGTCTACTTCTCAAGTCAGAGTTTCACTTTTGACTTGTAGGACTTTCCTAACATGAGCTGGGCCCACTGTCAACATTCCTAGACGTAACAACCGTAAACTTTTCTCATGACTTACTCTGCTCCTGATTTCCCAACAGAGTGTGGCGTTTGTTCTTTACCTTTGCACTGTTCTCTATTCTAAAAGTACATACACACACACACACGCACACACACACACACACACACACACACACACACACACACACACACACACACACATAAATACTCACGACCACTGACTTGGTCTTTTTAAAAAATCAGAGTTGATACGAATTTCTTTTCAGAATCAAAGCTTGAGGAAATAACTGTCTCCAAGTTTACATGGTTCTCGCAATTTCACGCTTGAATATATATATTTTTTGGTAATACCAAAACTTCCTTGCGTTGGGAAACAAACATTACATACATACATATTGTATATATTTTATATATATATATATATATATATATATATTATAATATATATATATATATATATATATATATGTACACACACATTGGGAGATCCAAAAATCTGTTGATAGGATTCCCATAATTGGTCTTCTAAGTCACTCGTTCTTCAGAAAGTTTTATATTCAGGGCCAAGTTGTAGTTCATATGTCAAGAGAGACGAAGCCTTAACCAATAATAATGTGGTTGTTCACAACAGCGGCTGATTATCTAGGAAGCACTAGAGTGACGTCCTTCTGTGGTGAGGGGGAGGTGGGCCAGCAGGCACCAGTGCCATGAGATCCTCAGGTGTCAGATTGGCTGTCGTAGTCTGAGTGCGGGGGGTCAAGGGAGGTGTGAAGAGTGACAGTGACGTTCCTGTTGACGCTCACCGCCGGGTAGAAAAGCCCCTCCAGGTCGGTGAATGCCACGTCGCCCTGTTTGTGAAGAGATGAGTCAGATGAGAGGTGTGGAAACTAGACGACATTTTGGTCTGTTCTGCTATATTGTAATGGTTCCAGGGTTCATCGCCCTCGCGGCCCGGTCTAAAACTAGGCCTCATAATATGAAAAGATAAATGTTACAGGAATAAATATTTAATAAACACACAAGAAAGTAAAAGAAGTAGAGACAACTTCAACAAGGTAGGTAGGTAAGGATTGTCAGGAAACAGAACAAGTGTTTCCTCCACGCGGGTCTTAGCCATATGACCCCACAGCTGGAGCTTCTGGTCATCTGAGCGAGGCCTTACCCTGGCTTACCGGTCCACCCCTTTAAAAATTATGGTTATATCAACAGAAAGGTGTTTAGGTAAAACTATATTTTTTCCCTCGCCACAGTCACGAAACTTTTTGATAGCACCTCGTATGATGTTGGCGGAAACACAGTCAACCAGGAATCATTTCTCACCTGCTGTTCATCATTGACGTAGAAGGTGAGTGTGCCACCATGGTTGAGGTCGAGGAGGACGCCCACGGTGGAGCCCACGCCCACGCCGCCCTCACACCGCCCATGGTGGGCTGCTCCGTGCAGGAACCACGACCGCTGGTGATCTATGTACATAGCCCACCCGTGCACGTCGTTACCTGTGGTTGTGGAAGGAGGACAGGTGTTATGTTCAGGCGATGTACGGGTAACAAACGTTATTAGATAATTGTAGAGGAGGAAGAGTCGTTATTAAGTGCTCGTTTAGGATAGACATTGTTAAATGGTGTTTATAGGGTAGACGTTATAAGTTGATCTAAGTATTATGTGCTTAATGTGTGTTGCGATGGAGGATATACTTATTAGGGATGTGATATATTACAAACACCAGCACCAGCATGGGATGTGATATATATCAAACACTGTACAGATGTTTATCGGATATTTACACCAGACAATGGATGTATATTTCCTCATGATTTCCTTCCCACATCCACTTTTATATTTGCTTATCACCTTTAACACCGAAATGATTAATTATATTTTTTTTCGATTCCTGTTATCTTTCACCCCACTGAAGTTCCCCTTTATGCATTGTTAGCTTCTGAGATATATATTATTATTATTATTAGTGTAATAAGTCACTGAGGTTCCTGCTAATTATTGGCAGTGAGAAGATTATTTTATTATTTAGCAAAATGGTTACGTCAGCAGTGTGCTAATACCCATTTTTACATGATAGTTGAACCGTGGGAACGAAAGCTAGCCTTGTTTCCCTGTTATATTCCCTCTCACGCTGGATGGGTCCCACACAGAGCTGTTGTATGTGTCAGTCTGAGCTGGGAGACTTCCGTAGGGCAATGAGGATATGGTCAAGTAGTCCGGTTATGGGATGGGAACAGGGTGAGTGGCAGGGATGGCAAGTAGTAGAGGATAAACGGGAAGTTTGTTTTCGTTGGAATGCGCGGTGGGGGGACAGAGGGGCTGCGCAGGGCTTGGCATCATTAGGTCAGGTTTCAGTTCACGTTTTCGGGGAATGAGTTGTAAAGAAGACAGCAGCCCAACGAAAACGGAGTTAATAGAACCCGGCGATGAGCTATGATAAAAAAATGGTGTCATATCTCGACCCATCCTAGCTACCCTGGGTGATGCTCGTGAAGATTTGCGTTTCTGCAGCTGCTGAGCCACTCCTTTACCAGACGCATTTATGTCTGTTTGCGTTTAGTTCGCTTATTTGTAATTATATATAAATTTATTATAGCCTTGTTTTAGCTAATTTAACCAAGCCGTGACTGGAACAATACACAAATAACCGGCACATAGGAGAAGGAAACTTTGGTCGACTTTTCGGACCGACTAAACTGACGTTGGTATTCGACAGATAAAATTATCATAGTGAAATGATGATAGGAAGTACAAGGCGAGGAGAGACGAGGCTCGACACTTCATAAAATTTGCCTTTGCACCAAATATTTTCAGCGAACAATTAAAACGAGGCTAGCCAAGAGGAAATTTATATCCGAGTCCATTGTAAAGTTGAATTAGTGTGTGTGGTACTGTGCTGAGATTTTTGTAACGGTTTGGCTTTCATGTTAGTTTTCATGAAAGGGATTAATTGTTACTGAAACAATGAGCTAATGAGTAAACAAGAGGGACAATAAAAACTGCCATAAAGAACAGTGCTTCGCACTAATGAAGTGATCGACAGATAAATTATATAGTGAAATTGAAGAAGTTTACGAGAGAGACAGGCTCACACTTATAAAATTATGCTTTGACCATATTTACAACTACAGGCTGCCAAAGGAATTATATCGAGTCCATTGTAGTAAATAGTGTGTGGTACTCTGAGATTTTGAACGTTTGGCTTTCATGTTAGTTTTCATGAAAGGATTAATTGTTACTGAAACATATGAGCTAAATGATAATCTAATTGACAATAAACTCTTTAACAACAGTGTCTAGATGAAGATGAAATTAAAAAATATTAGTACATTTTCTACTACACATCTACCAATTACTGCTAATACCTACTACTGTACTGATTAGTACTGATAATAGTAGTTAATGTTACTACAACTACTGCGCTAACAGTAATAAATATTCACTAATAGATCTTATGGGATCCTGGGGTTTATAGCTAATATTTTCACTTCAACTCGGAAGGACCAAAGCCCATTGCAACAAAGCCAATACTTCAGTACATTTCTGCAGCGAGTGCTCTACCCTGTTGGTAATCAGTCTCTGGTCAGGTGGACGAAACCATAAAGTCTTGAGAGGGTTTACCTACTGGAGTTACTGGAGGGTGTTCAGGCGGTCACGTTCGCGGCCCAGTCCTTGACCAGGCTCTGGTGTTCAGGGCCTGATCAACCAGGCTGTACTGCTGCCCAAAGCAATCGGAATATAACTTTCAATTCGTAAGTTACGAGTGTTTAAAGTTTGGTGACTAACTTAAATTTATGAACATTGTAAGTTTGTGATTTGGCCGGACTTTTTAGCAGCATCCTGTACCACTGTATCTCTGTACCACTGCATCCCTGTACCACTGTATCTGTACCACTGCATCCCTGTACCACTGCATCCCTGTACCACTGTATATCTGTACCACTGTATCTCTGTACCACTGTATCTCTGTACCACTGCATCCCTGTACCACTGCATCCCTGTACCACTGTATCTCTGTACCACTGCATCCCTGTACCACTGTATCTCTGTACCACTGCATCCCTGTACCACTGCATCCCTGTACCACTGTATCTCTGTACCACTGTATCCCTGTACCACTGCATCCCTGTACCACTGTATCTCTGTACCACTGTATCTGTGCCACTGTATCTCTGTACCACTGTATCTCTGTACCACTGTATCTCTGTACCACTGTATCTCTGTACCATTGCATCCCTGTACCACTGCATCTCTGTACCACTGCTCGTACCAGCATCCTGTACCACTGTATCTCTGTACCACTGCACCCCTGTACCACTGTATCTCTGTACCACTGTATCCCTGTACCACTGCATCCCTGTACCACTGTATCTCTGTACTACTGCATCCCTGTACCACTGCATCCCTGTACCACTGTATCTCTGTACCACTGCATCCCTGTACCACTGCATCCCTGTACCACTGTATCTCTGTACCACTGCATCCCTGTACCACTGTATCTCTGTACTACTGCATCTCTGTACTACTGCATCTCTGTACCACTGTATCTCTGTACCACTGTATCTCTGTACCACTGCATCCCTGTACCACTGTATCTCTGTACCACTGTATCTCTGTACTACTGCATCTCTGTACCACTGCATCCCTGTACCACTGTATCTCTGTACAACTGTATCTCTGTACCACTGTATCTCTGTACCACTGCATCCCTGTACCACTGCATCCCTGTACCACTGCATCCCTGTACCACTGTATCTCTGTACCACTGCATCCCTGTACCACTGCATCCCTGTACCACTGTATCTCTGTACTACTGCATCTCTGTACCACTGCATCCTGTACCACTGCATCCCTGTACCACTGTATCCCTGTACCACTGTATCTCTGTACCACTGTATCCCTGTACCACTGCATCCCTGTACTACTGCATCTCTGTACCACTGCATCTCTGTACTACTGCATCTCTGTACCACTGCATCTCTGTACCACTGCATCCCTGTACCACTGTATCCCTGTACCACTGTATCTCTGTACCACTGTATCTCTGTACCACTGCATCCCTGTACCACTGCATCTCTGTACCACTGCATCCCTGTATCTCTGTACTACTGCATCTCTGTACCACTGCATCCCTGTACCACTGTATCTCTGTACCACTGCATCTCTGTACCACTGTATCTCTGTATTACTGCATCTCTGTACCACTGCATCTCTGTACCACTGCACCCCTGTACCACTGCATCTCTGTACCACTGCATCTCTGTACCACTGCACCCCTGTACCACTGCATCTCTGTACCACTGCATCTCTGTACCACTGCACCCCTGTACCACTGCATCTCTGTACCACTGCATCTCTGTACCACTGCACCCCTGTACCACTGCATCTCTGTACCACTGCATCTCTGTACCACTGCATCTCTGTACCACTGCATCTCTGTACCACTGCATCTCTGTACCACTGCATCCCTGTACCACTGCATCCCTATACCACTGCATCCCTGTACCAATGCATCCCTGTACCACATCTCTGTACCAGTGCATCTCTGTACCAGTGCATCCCTGTACCACTGCATCCCTGTACCACTGCATCTCTGTACCACTGCATCCCTGTATCACTGCATCTCTGTACCACTGCATCCCTGTACCACTGCATCCCTGTATCACTGCATCCCTTTACCACTGCATCCCTATACCACTGCATCCCTGTACCACTGCATGACGCTGTGCCTCGTAGGGTTCAAACTGCGGCTGGGAAATGAAACGTAATGAGGATGCAGTCATGTATAGGAGGAGAGCTCCACTACCCTGTACCGTCAACAAGGTGACATCCACGTCACCACCGTAGACGCACTCACCCAACATGCCCTCCTTGTCGACATTGGCTCTGGCGACGCCGAAGACGACGTCGGCATTGGCGTCGTACGCGTCGACGGTGAACTGCCAGTAGTGACGCCCTCGGGAGAACCCGACGGAGGCCAGGGCGACGCGATGCTGGTAGCTCTCACACGTGGCCCCGGCAGCGTCGCCTACCAGGCGACACTCTGGGTGTGAGAGTGCACGATCCAGCGAGAACCACGCAGCTGTAAATAATAGAGTAGGTAAGTATATACGTCTTCCAGCAGCCGGCACTCCGGGCCAGAGTGCGCGCGATCCATAGCGAGTAGATTATTATTATAATCAAAAAGAAGCGCTAAGCCACAAGGGCTATACAGCCATAGCGAGTAGAGAGCTGCTCGAAGTAAATGAGTAGCTAAGTGAATAAGTAAGCATATGCTTATGTGTCAGTATTTAAGCGGACACCTCCATGTGCTGAGTTCTAAGCATTTTGAGTTGCTGTAGGAAAATCAGTCACGCAAACAGCCGAGAACAGTGCACACTATATGACAGTGTACATATTGTCTATGATAGTATACTATTGTCTATGACGGTGTACATATTGTCCATGGAAGTGTACACATTGTCTTTGACAGTATACATATTGTCTATGACAGTACAATTTATGCCTGCCCTTCCTGGGATCAAATCTGACTGAATCCCATTTCATAGGCTCCGTACGATCCCTAAAGGTCTAGCGTTCCCTCGTGAATGCAATAACAGTAATTTGGGTACAAGAAATACAATTTTTTTTACCATAGTACTGAGGGTGTACAGATATTTTGGGCACATAAAAATTACATTATGTAGATTTAACCTAGGAATCCCAGCGAGAACACTAGACATGTTTTCCTTAATGTTCGCTACAGTCAGGGGAGAGGAGAATAAAATTAGTCTCGGAGCTTACCATACTCAGAATGTAGCGGGCGTAAGGCTAAACTTGTCTAGTGTACTCACTACACACCCGACGTTATATGCTATGGTGGTGTAGTGGTCTAGAGCATCGATAATTTAGCTGGCTTTCCTGGGAGGCTGCCTATATTTCGAGGTAGCCTCGGCCTAGACTAGGTTTCGAGTCTCGGCCAAGGCTATTTGTTTCCATGACTGGACTTGCTTACACAAAGAAGTTTTAAGACACACTATTTTACCATTTCCCCATATACTGAGGAGTTTGCACGTCATTATTAAACCTACTGTAAGACAAGCAGTACACGAGGATGAAGATGAGATACTCACTGGCCGAGGTTCTGATAGCGACTGACGAGGAGTATGATGAGACGCCGGAGACATTGTAAGCTCTGACCCTGAGATGGTAAACAGTGTTGAAGTGTAGCCCCTCCACCGTGCACAGAGTCTCCGGTCCCCGGTGCACCTCCTGCAGACACGGTACAAAGAAACAACACACGAGTGTCACGAGAGAAAGGTTCCATAAAAAAAAAAATACCACGGGCGGGGATAGAACCCGCGATCAGCGAGTCACAAAACTCTGATCGAGGGTTCTATCCCCGCCCGTGGTATGGTGTGTTTGCAATCGTGTCATTATGATTTCGTGAGTCAAACGTCCCATACCTTTAAGGTAAAATACAGAGTATCATACAGTAAGCTGGCCCATGTCAACAGTGAGTAGCCCCTCGTCAGCAGTGAGTTGAACTGTGTTCTGCGACATCAGATGAAACAAAACTGAACACAAACGAATGAATAAGAAACTAAAATTTTTTTTTTTCTTGCGGGAGAAGAGAAGGATTTGTTGATGAACTGTTATATTCGTTCGCATTGAAAGAAAGGTTTAAAAAAGATATAGGAAAAGCCGAAAAAGACTTTGAAATTAAAGTTACAAAGGAACCAACGATAAATACGAAAGGTTTGTTTCTCGTACATAGAAAAAAGTTTAGTGAACAAAAATTGGTCCCAATTAAAACAAATGTTGGACAGCTTATTGATAATGAGAAAAAATATGCTCGATTTTTAACAATTAGTTAAACTGGCCTTTACACAGGATGACACAAACGAAATCCACGTAATAAATTGTTACAATTAACCTGAGGAAACCAAATAATGTATTATCACAGTTATTAGACATGTTTAGTAAAAAAAATAGGCAAATTAAGGCAAAATGAGTTCTAGGCCCGACGAACTGTCAAAATTTCTTAAATTACACTTGAAGGAACTCAATGAACCGCAAGTTAGTAATCTGATATTAATAGAAACGGGTATCGTACTCGTTATGTGAAAGATGCTTCATATGTAATTCCTATATACAAAGGAGGGGATGGATCCCTACCACTGAAGTAACGCCCAATCACCTTGATATCAATACTGGCTAAATTACTATAATAGATATTAGTGGAGAATCAGAAGCAGCCTTTATGAGCATAAACACTGTATACAGTATACGGTATTCCAGTTTACAACTGAGGCCAAGAGTTACATATTCAAGGCGTTAAAAAGAGCTAGAAATGGGTAATCTCACTCTCTCTCTCTCTCTCTCTCTCTCTCTCACACACACACACACAATACCTTGTAGTCTCCATCACCGTCGTCAATCTCCAGGATGTACCCAGCTACCCTGGAGGTAGGGTGAGGCGTCCAGGTGGCTGTCACACTGTTGTTCTCCCCAACACACTCCTCCGCCAGGAACTCGGGAGCCCCGGGTGCTGCACGCCCAGAGACAGTCACTTTAGTACTAGAGTTCTCTTATTATTAATAAAAACACATGTAGAGAATGGCGCAACCTGAAGAGGAGAGACTATTACCTTCCATACAGAGTGGAGGATGAAGATAGTAGAAACTGCTACTTCAAAGGGAAGGGGAAGCGATAAGTTGAAAGTTACTTTGACGTAAAGTATAAAAAGGCACAAGACGGTCTAAACGCATATATCATCACCTATCCACACACATCCATAATAAACAGCCAGGGTAAGCAACGCTCCTTTGTTTTGTTAACCGAGTTGTGGGAGGTGGCTGGGGCATGACAGTGTGGAATCCTGACGAACATGACCAGTGTCAAGAGACAGTGTGTTGCGTCCTGACGAACATGACCAGTGTCAAGAGACAGTGTGTTGCGTCCTGACGAACATGACCAGTGTCAAGAGACAGTGTGTTGCGTCCTGACGAACATGACCAGTGTCAAGAGACAGTGTGTTGCGCCCTGGCGAACATGACCAGTGTCAAGAGACAGTGTGTTGCGCCCTGGCGAACATGTGGTCAAGAGACAGTGTGTTGCGTCCTGACGAACATGACCAGTGTCAAGAGACAGTTTACCTGGAGTTTACCTGGAGAGAGTTCCGGGGGTCAACGCCCCCGCGGCCCGGTCTGTGACCAGGCTTCCTGATGGATCAGAGCCTGATCAACCAGGCTGTTGCTGCTGGTTGCACGCAAACCAACGTACGAGCCACAGCCCGGCTGGTCAGGAACCGACTTTAGGTGCTTGTCCAGTGCCAGCTTGAAGACTGCCAGGGGTCTGTTGGTAATCCCCCTTATGTATGCTGGGAGGCAGTTGAACAGTCTCGGGCCCCTGACACTTATTGTATGGTCTCTTAACAGTGTGTTGCGTCCTGACGAACATGACCAGTGTCAAGAGACAGTGTGTTGCGTCCTGACGAACATGACCAGTGCCAAGAGACAGTGTATTATGTCATGACGAACATGACCAGTGTCAGGAGACAGTGTGTTGCGTCCTGACGAACATGACCAGTGTCAAGAGACAGTGTGTTGTGTCCTGACGAACATGACCAGTGTCAAGAGACAGTGTGTTGCGTCCTGACGAACATGACCAGTGTCAAGAGACAGTGTGTTGCGTCCTGACGAACATGACCAGTGTCAAGAGACAGTGTGTTGTGTCCTGACGAACATGACCAGTGTCAAGAGACAGTGTGTTGCGTCCTGACGAACATGACCAGTGTCAAGAGACAGTGTGTTGGTCCTGACGAACATGACCAGTGTCAAGAGACAGTGTGTTGTGTCCTGACGAACATGACCAGTGTCAAGAGACAGTGTGTTGCGTCCTGACGAACATGACCAGTGTCAAGAGACTGTGGTTGACGTCCTGACGAACATGGACCAGTGTCCAGTGAAACAGTGTGTTGCGTCCTGACGAACATGACCAGTGTCAAGAGACAGTGTGTTGCGTCCTGACGAACATGACCAGTGTCAAGAGACAGTGTGTTGTGTCCTGACGAACATGACCAGTGTCAAGAGACAGTGTGTTGCGTCCTGACGAACATGACCAGTGTCAAGAGACTGTGTTGCGTCCTGACGAACATGACCAGTGTCCGGAAACAGTGTGTTGCGTCCTGACGAACATGACCAGTGTCAAGAGACAGTGTGTTGCGTCCTAACGAACATGACCAGTGTCAGGAGACAGTGTGTTGCGTCATGACGAACATGACCAGTGTCAGGAGACAGTGTGTTGCGTCCTGACGAACATGACCAGTGTCAGGAGACAGTGTGTTGCGTCCTGACGAACATGACCAGTGTCAGGAGACAGTGTGTTGCGTCCTGACGAACATGACCAGTGTCAAGAGACAGTGTGTTGCGTCCTGACGAACATGACCAGTGTCAAGAGACAGTGTGTTGCGTCCTGACGAACATGACCAGTGTTAAGAGACAGTGTGTTGCGTCCTGACGAACATGACCAGTGTCAAGAGACAGTGTGTTGCGCCCTGGCGAACATGACCAGTGTCAAGAGACAGTGTGTTGCGTCCTGACGAACATGACCAGTTTCAAGAGACAGTGTGTTGGGTCCTGACGAACATGACCAGTGTCAAGAGACAGTGTGTTGCGTCCTGACGAACATGACCAGTGTCAGGAGACAGTGTGTTGCGCCTGACGAAACATGACCAGTGTCAAGAGACAGTGTGTTGCGTCCTGACGAACATGACCAGTGTCAAGAGACAGTGTGTTGTGTCCTGACGAACATGACCAGTGTCAAGAGACAGTGTGTTGCGCCCTGACGAACATGACCAGTGTCAAGAGAACAGTGTGTTGCGTCCTGACGAACATGACCGTGTCAAGAGACAGTGTGTTGTGTCCTGACGAACATGACCAGTGTCAAGAGACAGTGTGTTGCGTCCTGACGAACATGACCAGTGTCAAGAGACAGTGTGTTGTGTCCTGACGAACATGACCAGTGTCAAGAGACAGTGTGTTGTGTCCTGACGAACATGACCAGTGTCAGGAGACAGTGTGTTGCGTCCTGACCAACAAACCACCACCATCTGGCCACTAAATAATTTCCGCGTAAATCAGTGCAATTTACGGAACTAACTGGGCACAGATGTGATTTTTTTCATTATTGTTCACAATTTTTTTTCGTGAATAACAAAATTTTTTGTTGAAGTTCGAGAATTGTGGAGGAGAAAGACAAGTGTCAGTGTGTTTTCTCTTGGCAAGCGTCCGGGAAGTGCTGGCTGGAGGACACAGGAGCGTCACCAATAGGTTAATGGATCTATCACGATACTTCAGTACGCATGCGCGTCACCACTAGGTTAATGGATCTATCACGATGCTGGAGTACGCAGGCGCGTCACCAATAGGTTAATGGATCCATCAACTCGTTATTCCGGCGTAAATGATGATTGGATGCCTCTAATTCAGATTAATTAATGACGAAGTTACTGGGTGATTTACAGGTGTGTGTGTGTGTGTGTGTGTGTGTGTGTGTGTGTGTGTGTGTGTGTGTGTGTGTGTGTTTGTGTGTTACGTGCGTTCGTGTACGTATACTTAAGTCTTTCACAAAAATTAAAAAAATGAAACAATTCACTTGATAAAACAGTAAACAGAAATAAAAAACATCGTGATAAAGGGTAAGAGAGAGAGAGAGACGGCGAGGCAGGAAGGAAGGAAGGAAGGAAGGGAGAACGGCAGTGAAGGAAGGGAGAATGGAAACAGGATAACATGAAAGCAGGAAGGAGTGGAGGTAGGAAGGCACTAGAGGAAGCAAATACGAAGACATAAGATAGCAGAGAAGAAAGCAGACCGGAAGAGAAGAGAGGAGAATACTGGCATGCTGGATAATTGATGGAGTCGCAGACACTGCTACTCTCCACTTGATGGCGCTGGTAGCCAGAGTCACACTCGCCTTAAGACACCGGATTCTTTTGACCAGGGATAACGATAACATATCCTTGAATATCACTATGTCACTAGGTATGTCACTAAATATATCATTAATCAATTTCTTTAAAAAATTTTCATATCTGTGAATATATATTGAAACTAAGGAAGAGCTCCGTAAAGCTGGGGAAAATAATTAAACTTACGAATAAATCTCAAACACGCAAATTAAATATGCCACTAAATGTGTCATTAAATGTCATTAAATATATCACTAAATATGTCAATATGTCAGTAAATATGTCAAGAGTTCTTGAAAAGTCCATCATGTAGCTCAGGTGAGAGAGCAAGAGTTCTCAAAGTGTGTGTATGTGTGTGTGTGTGTGTGTGTGTGTGTGTGTGTGTGTGTGTGTGTGTGTGTGTGTGTGTGTGTGTGTGTGTGTGAAGGAGTGACAAGACGTGACAGGTAAGTAGTGGAAGAGTGAATTATTGATAGATTACTGCAGACGAAGAGAGGAAGTGAGAAAGAAGAGAGACGAATAACTAAACAAGATGCTTGCCCCATCTGAGAGGGCTGGGCCCCTCAGGGTTGAAGGGCTGAAGGGAGGCCGATACCCCTTCCTTGGAGAAAAATTTTCCACAACTGGAGTAAATACATGAGAGATTACTGCAGAGGTAGATGAGAAAAGGAGAAGGGAGAGGAAGAGGAGGAGGAGGAGGAGGAGGAGGAAGAGGAAGAGGAAGAGGAGGAGGAGGAGGAGAAAGAGGAGGAGGAGGAGGAGCAGGAGAATACTGACTAAGCAGGAATAAGCCTCTCAGGGTAAGCTGGCAAGACATGCAGACGAGACAGTTCTACCAACATCAAACAGATTAACACCAGCAAGGGGCTGACGGTGACACATAACAAAACACACGGACTTCAGGTCAGGCTGTGAGAATACAATGCTCGAAACATCGTCGCTCTCTTCATCAGAATGAGAAAGCTAAACATCCAATTCCATTATAAAAATTAAGTAACATGATTAGGAAATATAATCCCACATTCTGGTCATGTTAAAAAAAAGGCATCCGATAGTTATAAGAAAAAACAGTCACGGTAAACTATGAAAAATGTTTATGCAAGAACACAAACAGGAATTAACAGCCATAATAACTTCAAATACCAAAAAAAGAGGAGAGAGGAAGCGAGAAAGTAAGACGATAAAGACGATAAAGACGACTTAAGAGATAACGGTGGACAAGACTGGGTGGAATATACATTGTGAGGGGGCTATAACGTGTGATAAATGGGGTGGGAAAAACAGCGAGAGAAGTCGTTAACATAGTGTGCAATAATGTATGTGGAGTGGGGGAGGCAGTGGATGGGGCGAGATCGCGCGCGCGCGCAACACCCACCCCACGCCCACCCACACACACACACACACACACACATGTGGAAAATCCACACTGAACGAGACGTGGTGGAGAATGGATGTTGGAAAATACCGCGAGGGGAGGATGAAATTGTGCATATATAGGCGATGCGAGTTGTGGTCAGGTGCTCATGTATGTACGAGTGTGTGTGTGTGTGTGTGTGTGTGTGGTGTGTGTGTGTGCATGT